GCTTGCAATGGTAGCAGAAGCTGACGTGGACGGGTCCTTTCTGCCCGAACAGCCGGGGCAGACCACCCCTGCGCGCGCGTGAGGCAAACCGCCCGGGGCCGCGCCACGATCGCGGAGAAATCGGCACGAATGCCCCGACGAGGCGAAGAAAAAACTCCAGCAAGAGCTCACTGAAAGCTGGCCGGTGCAGCCAAGACTGCGAAAAGGGCAGCCCTTCCACCTCGGCCCTGGGACTCGGGAGTCGGGACGGGAGGTAAGCTCCGTGTTGAGCCAAAACGGCTACGGTATCCCCCTCCTCCTCATCCTTCTTCTCTTCCTCCTTTACCATTATCTTCTTCCTCCTCCTTCTCCTCCTCCTCCTCCCACCTCCCTCCTCATCTTGCTCCCTCATATTCTCCTCAGTTACCGCCGCGTTCTCCTGCGACGGTAGGCGCTGCAGCCGCCTCGTCCTCATACGACGGTCAATCCAAGGTTTCGGCGCGATGTGTGGGGGGATCGCCTGGCGATCGTCTCTGGATGCGTTAATGGGCGCAGGATAAGCGGCGACATTTCATTCTGAATATGTTAGCCAACGTGGGGCCCAACCAATGCTTTGTTGTACTGTGCAGGTGGGAACGATGCGGAGCCAGCTATGTAGCGTTGCTGCGTAATCCACGTGGCGCGAGCTGCGTGGTGCAAGGTATGGCGCACAAGCTATACGGTGTGTCCTGCCTTGTGCGTTGTTCGCTGTGCGACGTGTGTGGTGTGGGCTGTGACCTGATGCGAAAACTATGCCGTGTAAGCTTACTGCGCGGCGTGAGCTATGCCGCGCAAACTCCGTGCGCCACCCGAGGCACGGGGCACCCACGAAACGCGCACGGGCGCCGCCCGTCCCCCCCCCTATCATCATCTTCCTTTCTTGGAGCCATTTTGGCCCGTCTGGGCGCCGTCTTCAGCCGCCTTGGACGCCTCACAAGGGTTCAAAAAGGCCCTTCGTAGGGCCCAGAACTCACTTCCGCAGCCCCGTGCCCCCCTCCATCTCGCTTTTGAACCCTCATCGGTTCGGTACCCGTGGGTGCACTTTGGGGGCCCTCTCCTTCCTCAACCAGGCCTCCAAGCACTGTCCGAGGGCTTCACACCTTGCCACTATTTCATCAACGCGGCACCGTTCAAATACGTCGGGCGGCTGTGCCTGTCTCCACAGAGGCGTTCTTTTGAATGATTGTAACCTCGGGCATGCGATGTGCAATGTTGATTTGATTTCGCGTTGAGCTTCAACTTTAATGCCCAATGTCCAATATCGAACCCCCGAGTTCAATGATGGCCCTTCGAGTTCAATTACCCTAGTGTCGAACCCACATGTGAGCGCACGATTATCAGCGTATGCCCTCCCGCCCAGCATGCGGAACGATACGGGTCCGCGTCCGCGCATATGAACATGCACAGTTTGAACGCCGGCAAGTACGACGAGGAGGACGGCGACGACGACGCGACCCCCTTCGAGTTCTCCACGGGCGAGCCGACAGAGAGCATGGCGGTCTTCACGGCCCGAAGGCCACCCCAAGACAACTCTGCAAGATGCCCCCAGACTGGCCATCGACAGCCTACTACTTCCACGGTCCAGGCAACATCACCAAAGAAACCCCAGCAAGTCCCAACACACATCCCAAGAGGCCCAAAAAGATCCGTCCAACATTGGCCAAGGAAGGCAAACATCATGGAACACTGTATCGTGATTCAATGCGGTTGCCTTCTGAAGCCTCTCGGCACGAAATGGCTTCAAGTGAGCTTCAGAGGGCCTGCAGACGGTCAACAGTGCCCCAAAAAATCACCACAACACCCCAAGGGCCCTAATACAAGTCGAAGGCCGCCCGAAAGTTCGAAGACGGCCACAACACTCGTCCCAAACAGCCACTGGGCGGAGCTAAGCTCACAGCCGAACCGCAATGCTGTAAGCCAAAGTGGCAACAGCGACGACGACGCTGGGGCACTCCTGGGCGCTCCTTAGCCTTCGGCGTCTTGGCCCGAACCACTCACGTGAAAACCTGCGTGACCGCACGACAAGAACTCCGAGAAGGAAAAGGAGGAAGAAGACGAAGAGCGGAACGACCGACTTCAATTCTACCAGAGGGCACGACTCATTGCAGGACGATCCCGAACGTCTCACACACACGGAAAGGCCCGAACGACTCCCACTAACCCCAATAGCCCGAACTGCTCACGCCACGAGAAACCCGATCGACTCACACACACGGACGAACCCGAACGACTCTCACCAGGACGACGGGCCTGGACGACGGACACCACGACGAGCCTGAACGACTCACACGCAAGGAACAGGCCCGAACGACTCACAGCAGGACGAAGAGCCCGAACGACTCACACAACGAACAGCCCAAATGTGTCGCAGACCACAACACGCGCCAACCACTCACAAACAATGAGAAGGCCGAAGAACTCACACCACGGCGCGGCGCCCGAACCTGCAACACCCCGAGAATCTCGAGAGACTCTTACACAAGGAAGGGCCCCAACAACTAACGCCAGGACGAACGGCCCCAGGGACGCACAGAACATTCGTGAAGCAGAACACGCGAACGAACGGCCCGAACGACTCCTAGAACACGCCCCAGCAAAACAAGAAACCCGAACGAGGGAGCGTAGGCCGCCCTTGAAGCCAAACGTAAGAATCGTCGAGATACTCCTCGAGAGAAACGAACGCGGCAGCAGCGAAGACGGCAGCCCCGAGCGAGCGGCAGGGTCGTCGACGTCGTCGTTTTCGTCGACGTCGTCGCCGGGGAGTACTGACTCGAACACCAAACTTGGGGAAGATCGCAGACGATTCCACAGGACACCACACAAGCAACACAACGTGACATGTCTGAAACGTGGCACTCGATAACCGCCGACGGACTGAGGTGTCCATTATAAGCCGTGCTACACGTAGACACCCTGTGAGAACCCTGGAAGTTACCTGGAACTGCACCAATCACAACCTTGTATAGTACTATATCCTGACAATCGGGGAAACCTGCAACACGAGAGAACTAGACCCCAGGCCCCTGGACACCCTGAGGCACGATACGCCTCGATCCACTACATGGGCTGTGACGGGATACGCCGACAGTCATGTTGAGAGCCTCGAGCTCCTGCATACCTGCAAGACCTCTCAGCACACTGTACTCCTGCACGACTACGAAGAGCGTTCTACCTAAATCTACGGTGTCCCGTTTTTCCATAAGGCAAAGCGAACCACTTCAGCCCACACGTTGCGTAACGCTCCACGCGTCACCTGCACACGAGCGCGGCAGACGACAGTTGGAACTTCGACTCTCAGACCTCGACATGTGCCTACCCAACATCCGCAGGAAAAATGGCGCACCACTCTTACTCTCTTGGGAAGAGGCAGAGGACAACGTTGAACTTCTGTGCATGTCTTTCTGTGCTTTCTTGATGTGTGTCGGACCGCCTTTGATTTATGCGTGTTTCTGTATTGAATACATGCGTGTATAGGTGTGGAGGGGAATCCATGGTCTGCTGCCGCAATGACGATGGATCGTGCCGAGAAAATCTCGAAAGTGGCGCGTCTCTGAGACATCTCGCGATGACCGCCGTGCCTGCATGTCACCGAGCGCTAAACGCCACGACGACCTGCTGACACGAACGCGGGGCGAATGGAGAAGAATATGACTCACATCAGATGCAAAAATGGAGATCTCGTAGCGGTGCAGGGCTACGTGCGGAATTTGCGCACACCAGCCACCTCGTGCCAAAAAGCACAGTAGGCGCGTGCGTTCGGGCCGCAAGCCAAGTCACCATTGACGTGGTGGTCGTGGTCGTCGTCGTCGGCGCCGTCGTTGTCTTCTCGTCATCGTCGTCATCGTCATCGCCATCACATTCGAAGCCGTGGGAAAGAAAGTGCCGCGCGCCGACCGCACTGTGGAAGCTCAACATGAAGCGAGAGTGCCGGCAACCAATATTCTGCGCGCTCGCTTCCAGGAGCCCCCGTGGCAAGCAAAAGTACAACAAAACACAGGCGCTTCTCCATGCCAGCCGCAAAGATGATGCTAGTAGGCGGAGACTATTACGGGTAGGCGGAGCGAAGCTCACAGCCACACTCCAATACTAGAAGCCCGAGTGGCAACGACAACAACGCTGGTCGGGAAAGATCGCTGGTTTCGACGACGGCCGCCCTCTGTCTTGCCTCCCAACTCCTTCCCTCCCGCCTCCTCTTCCGACTCCTCCTGCTTCGGACCATAGAATACACGCACAGGGAAACAGACACATGCTTGCACCAGACAACTGTCGGCATGCTTCGCTGGGGTTCCTCGTCGGCGATGGCACTACCACGACTGCGTCTACATTTACTACAACGACTACTACGACTACTACGACGACTCCTACTATTACTACTCCCACTACTACTTCTACTGCTACTACGAGGTCTACTACAACTACTGCTGCTACTATTCATCGTACTACTGCGGCTCTGCCTCCTAATCCTACTACTACTACTACTGCGAGCACTACTCCTTCTACCACGACACATACATCTACTGCCACTGAAACTTGTCGTGTCGCTACTACTGCTACTACTACTACTACTACTACTACTACTACTACTACTACTACTACTACTACTACTACTACTACTACTACTACTACTACTACTACTACTACTACTACTACTACACGGAAGCGAGAGGAAGGAGGAACAGGGGAGCTATGCGGAGCCCAGCGGACACACGCCTGACACACACCACTGTCGGCATGCTTCACAAGAGGTGCTGCTGTGAGATGGGCTGGTGGGGGTACGCGAAGCGTAAAGAATTCGAAGACGGCCACAACACTCGTCCCAAACAGCCACGCCATTGCTCTACCGAGCCTCTTCGGGAGAAGTCGGTCGGACTTTCGCATCGGAGATGGACCCAGCGAGCGCCTCCTGTGGTCCGGAGGCCCCGCATCAGCATTGTTCTCCAGACGGGGGGGGAGTTGTGCAGGCCGTGTAGGAGAATGGTTTTACCAAGCTTGTTCGAATGGCATCGGTAGAACCCTCAGGTATGCGCTTTGATGCTGCGATGGCACGGCGACCGGGATCACAGCAGGCAACTTGATGATGTGTTTGTATCCCTCGGTTCCGCTTCACATGTACCGAACACACGCGTCCATCCAACTCTCCATGATCATATTGTTGAATACATCTACAGCCAAGGATTCGGAGTTGTCAACCGCCTTCTGCAGCGCCTTGAAGTCGCAGGCGCCGAACAACCGGTGACCTAGACCCCACGGAGGAGGATGTACCACCCAGCCATAGCTCGATGCGCACCTAGTGGCTGCACTGCGTCTCCCTAAATCTTCGTGCTGCTCGAGCAGTTGGGCGCTCACTGCCCTCAAAGGCAAAAGCTTACGGAAACGACCCGGGTGGGCCACGTAGTAGCGCGTGCTCAGCGTGGAGGCACCACGGGCGCAGACCTGTCGTTCATCCTTCTGCGCGTCAGCTGGCAGCCTACCAATTGGAAGTGGGTAAGGGTACTTGAAATCGCCGTTCATGTACTTTGCTGGCAGTTGTGCGTCATCCTTGGCGGCGTCACCTGCCAACGGCGGCAGAGCAAAGACGAGGTCTGGATGCTGATGAAGAAGTCTTACCGCATGATGGATCCCACCTCCCTGGTGCACTAAGATGTCTGAGTTGAAGTACAAGCAATACTCAGACTCACACTCTTCCACAAGGTATTGATACGTGGCAAACAGTGAACCGTCATGTCCGTCAGGGTCCTGGGGTGAAGGAGCACTCTGGGGTCATGTGGTTCGCCCCCTGGGCCCTCTTACATGCTGCTTTTTCCCCCAAGGAACGCTTGTGCTTGTGTTTTCCCCAAAGAACGCTTGTACTTATATGTTATTACTCGTCTGCTGGATGGAACTAAGCCTATCTGGCGGTCCGGCGGCTCCGTGGCCGCCGTCGCCGCCCCGTCGCCGCCGCGTCGCCGCCCGTCGTCTGGGCCTGCCTGGAGGTCTGGCAGCTCCGTGGTCGCCGTCGCCGCCCCATCGCCGCCGCGTCGCCGCCCGTCGTCTGGGCCTGCCTGGAGGTCTGGCAGCTCCGTGGTCGCCGTCGCCGCCCCATCGCCGCCTCGTCGCCGCCCGTCGTCTGGGCCTGCATTGCTTTGCATTGCTTGTGCATTGCTTTGTATTGTGTTGCATTGCATTGCACTGTATTTCATCGCTTTGTATCGCCGTGCAGTGCTCGCTTTGCATTGCATGTCATTGCAATCGCACTGCGATGCAATCGAATTGCATTGCATTGCTTTGCATCGATGTGCATTGCTTTGCAATATGCTGTGCCTGGCGTTGCGTTGGATTGCCTTGCATTGATTTGCATTGCATCGCATGTCTGTACATTGCTTTGCAACACGTTGCGTTGCATTGCTTTGGGTCGCCGTCTCGTCGCTGCCCCGTCACCTACCGTCATCTGGGCCTGACCGTCGTTCTGACGACTATGTTGTCGCCGTGGCCGCCCGTCGCCGTCTCGCATAGATTGCACTGCATAGGTTGCACCGCGTAGATTGGACCACGTATATGGCAACGTTCACCTGTTACCGCACATTGTAGATTGCACCGCAAGGCTCCTGCACATATCTTGCACCGTAGACATTGCTCCACCGGTGTGTATATACATATATATATATATGTATTGCAAACTGTCGATTGCTAGAAACACGCAGTTTTGGGCCCACGCTCGCTAGCAGGTTGTGTACTTTCTGTCGTGCGCTTGCATGTAGGTGCACATAGGTCTACATGACGTCCGTTCCGGCGCAAACGACAGGGGCGCCCCGAAAGAGCCTCCCGCATATAGCGCATCGCAGCATTAGAGGCAAAGGCCAAACCACAGAAACCACACCATCGAAGAGTGGCTCCAGACCCAGCTTGAGTCTAATTTGACGGGCGAAGAACGGTATAACATAAACTTTTTCGCCGTCGGGGACACCTGCCCCAGGGCGGCTGGAAAATTTATAGCCTTACGGTGGCACCGTAGGGGTACAAATTTTCCAGCCGCCCTGGGGCAGGTGTCCCCGACGGCGAAAACAATTATTTTATACCGCTCTTCGCCCGTTAACTAATGGTGGAGCCAGCGACCCAAAGCAGCCGGCACACCCTCGAGCAAAGGAGACAAGCCCACCCACCACTTCGCCTCTCGCCGGCGCGCAGGCGAAGAGCCGATGCGCGGCGGAGGCTAGCAGACCCCACCCTCGCGAGCCAACGCCGTAGACAGGATATATGAAGGGCCCCAAGGACACACAAATAAATACACACAAACAAAATAGTCCCCCATGTTTTCCCATATGTTCTGGGTTTCTGTCTTCCCGCCCACTTCCCATATTTTCCCATATTTTCTGGGAAATCGAGGATGAATTGTGTCTGTGTGTTTCTTTTCCTCCTGAATATAGCAGCCTGGGCGGCTGCCGGGGTTGGAAGGCACGCGCAAGCTGGAGAGACTACTTTTCCGAAACAGTGGGCTGGCGGGGAACAGTACAGACAATTAATTAGTTGGAAAACCAAAAGGGTCAAGGAAAACGGACGGCTTCAGTCTGTTCTCCAGTGCTGCACCACCCCTCCCGCCCAACTAGACCTCTACAGATATTGAAACATCCACACATGCGCCGCTCCCACGTCCAAACTCAAGCAAGTGAGACCCATCCTCCGCCAGTTTTCCTCTCCATAGCGCGCAAGTGAAGTCGATGCGTGGTGGAGACTGCAGCAGTCCCAAACACGCCAGCCAACGCCGCCGCCCAAGCTACAGCAGCCTGGACGGCTGGCGGGGATGGAACGCACGCGCAAGCTGGAGCGACCACTCTTTGGGAACAGTGGGCTGCCGGGGTAAAGCGCAGCAAATGGTTCGAACCAGCACAGTCAATGAAAACGAACGGCTTCAGTCTGTTCCCCAATGCTGAACCACACATTCCGCCCAACTAGGACCTTTACAGCCATTGTAACATCCACACCTGCGGCGCTCCCCCATTCAAACTCAAGTAACTGAGACCCGCCCCCGCCAATTTTTCTCTCGACGGCGCGCAGGTGAAGCCGACGCGCGGCGGAGACCGCAGCAGTGCAGCTGTCCCCCACCACGCGAGCCGACGCCGCACAAACACGCTGCAGCGGCCTGGGCGGCTGGCGTGAACGAGTTTTCTCTCGGCAGCGCGCAAGTGGAAGTCGATGCGTGGTGGGGGCTGCAGCAGCCCCCGCCCACGCGAGCCAACGCCGCCGCCGAGGCTACGCAGCCTGGGTGGCTTAGCGGTCGAAAAGTGCAAGCCGAACCATTGAGGAATTGCGCAACGGGTGGGATCTGCGGCAGCTGCAGCAAGAGTACCCCGAGCAGGTCGGAGCGCATGCATGGGCACCGCCCCGTGCAGCAAGGGTCCGCAGATAACCCAGTGCAGCACTGGTCCGAGCACCGCGGCTCCTCTGCTGTGGAATTGGAGATGAAGCATGCACGCTTGCGCACTGGGTCCTCCAGCAGGTCCTGGAGCCACTTGAACGCGCGTCTGGACGGTGACGACTGCTCGCGCGGAGCCCAGTGCAGCACTGGGATTCCCCCCAGCGGCGCCCAGCACAGCCCTGGGCAACATCGACGGCTGGCATGCCCTACGTGGCTCGGGTGCCAGCCATGCGATACCCAGCGTGTCACTTGGATTTCGCTCCCCCCAGTGCAGTACTGCGCGGGGGCGCGCGGTACAAAGTGCAACTGCAGGCACAGCAAACTCGCATTCAGGCAAACCCGGAGCAACTCGGAGCCCGTGAGCACCGTCCTTTGTAGCAAGGGGGATCCAAGCCTCTGCAGAATTTTCCCCCTCGTGATCCGCGGCAGGTGCCCCGAGACCCAATCAGGTATGGCAGCCCTGGTTTCGCCTGAGAGAGAGGGGCCTGGGCCAACCGCCACAGCAGCTGCGGCCTTCCACTGCAGGTGGCCGAGGCGTGTCTGGGACTGCAGCAGCCCCCACCCTGAGCCGGCAAGGCCGGCGGGGCTTCGAGCGCTGCCGAGCGGCGATGTCAGCCGAGTCCTCGGCGAGCTCGGCCGCCAGCGCGACGAGGCCGCGCGGCGAGCCTTGGCTGGCCCTCTCGCGGCAGGCCAGCGCAGCCCTTTTGGCGAGCTCGGCAATGAGCTCGAAAGCCAAGGCGGCGAGCTCCCTAGCCAGCCGTCTCGCAGCAGGCCGTCACAATCCGATCGGCCATCAGCGCGGATGCTAACGCGGCGAGCTCCAGGCCGGCTGTCTCGCAGCAGGCCTGCAGAGGCTTGGCTAGCTCGGCCAACCAGCTTGAGTGTCAACGCGGCGAGCTCTAAGCCGGGCCGTCTCGCAGTAGACCGGCAGGGCCTCGAGCGCCGCCAAGCGGCGAACTCAACCGAATCCTCCCAGGTCAGGCGCCGCACCCATCGCCGCGCCCACCGGTGCCCTATCAACGAAGGGTGCCCGATGTGTCGGGCTGCAGGCTAACAGGCGGCCGCTGTGCCCCGCTCAACGCTCCGCTTGCACATTCGCCACTGCCCTGATTGATCCAGAAATGGCCGCTACGTAGCCGTGCCATGCCAGCCTGCATATGCAGCAGCAGCTCAGTAACAGCACGGATTTCGCGTTCACGACCGAAGATCGCAAATAAATCAAAGCACTGACTGCGGTCCATGCACCACACATGAACGTTGTTCCCATCTAGCCGACGCGCATTGCATGCTTTCCTGCTGTTCTTGGCTCTGGGAAGGCTCAAAGCAAGGTGCGGTTCCTTCCCGGAGTAGTGCCCAGGTATGCCAACATACAGTTCACATGATACTTCGTGTGTAGGCGCGCTTTGTGCTACGACTTAACTATGTGTACTGATTATGCTTGCATCTTGATCCTGGGCCCCATGAACAATGTTCTGGTAAATGGCCCAGAGCCTCCTCCAGGAACCACGTTGTGCTTTTCCTTCATCATCATCATCCTCATTATCCTCCCCATGTTGTTCTTCCCAACTCCCCCCCGCCTACCCTCTGCAAAGAAACATATCGAAGTGAATCAAGTGTCAAAACATGTCCAGAGGATCAGATCCGAACAACCTCCGAAAGCGTCCCTCGCAGGGTCCTGGATGCCAACCTGTCGTTGGATTTCGGAGTCGCCGTAACGTATTGGCACGGCTCGTTGCAACAGTCCCTCGCCTTTCAATTCCTCCATGTCTTTGAGAAACGCCTGCATCCGATCTTGACTCTTGGGTCGGCCATCGTAGAAGAGAAGCACTTGGGAGAAATTCATCGGGGCCGGACCCTTGGACAGCTGCTGCAGGTAGTTCTTGAGGAGGTCTTTTGCCGGCGCTGCCCCAGCAGGATCCACAATCGTCGTTGGTTCAAAGATGGGGTCCTGAGTTTGTGGGCCCCAGAAATGGCAGTACCGTTGTTTCACCGTTTCCCAAAAAATGTCCTTTGAAAATGGAAACGGCAAAAAAACGGCAACCAGAAACGGCAAAAAAACGGCGCCAGGATTGGAACCGGAGCCGGAACCGGTCAAAAAACGACGACGGAACCGGTGAAAAAAACGGCGTCGGAACTGGCAACAAAAACGGCAACACGGAACCGGTAACAAAAACGGCCCTGTCGTCTCCACGGCCCACTAAGGTCCCGAGGGATGGGGCCCTAAGGACGAGGTGCCTCAAACGATGAAAATCCGCCCTGGGATCCCTTCCCATCCTTGGTAGTGGGCCCTGGAAACGACAGGGCCGTTTTTTTACCGGTTCCGTTTTGCCGTTTTTTTACCGGTTCCGACGCCGTTTTTTTACCGGTTCCGTCGCCGTTTTTTGACCGGTTCCTGCTCTGGTTCCAATCCCGGACCTGTTTTTTTGCCGTTTCCGGTCGCCGTTTTTTTGCCGTTTCCATTTTCAAGGGGCATTTTTTTTGAAACGGTGAAAAACAGTCCTGCCGTTTCCGGGGCCCACAAAGCTTTGGGCCCCCATCCCCCAGGGCCCCCTCTTTGAACCGC